GGGGATCAAAGGTTCATATTTTACCCACTATCTCTCTCTCTCTGTGTGTGTGTGTGTGTGTGTGTGTGTGTGGTGTCCCAGCCAAGGCATGGCTTGGCGCCTGTAGTGGTCATTCTTCATTTGCAGTTCTCCTTTGCCAACTATTTGGCCCGCTCTGATGTTTCCAAATGCAGTTGTTAGTGAACTTTTGTGTTTGGAACAAGTGCATTGTGTCAGCAGAACTGGTCCCTGGGAGGGGTCAGTGCCATGAAATCTGCTGGGAGGAGGCAGGTCAATGCCCCTTTGGCAGGAGGGAGAGCGGATTAGGGCGGATTGTGAAAGTATGCATCTTGTTCTGAAAAACTGTGCATTGCATTTTTTCCCAGGGCAGTGTGTGAAAATCCAGGCATAATGCACACATAACTTTTTATGAATGAACCCTTTATGACTCCCCATGGAGCCCACTTGTAGTATCCTCGTCTGCATTTCCTCTTCTTGATATCCTTATTAAACTCCTCCTCTAAACCCTGGAACCAGATTTCAGTTTAGGAATTTGACACCTTTCCTTTATTCATTTCTTTCCAGCCTGTTTTGTTTCCTTGGAAGGAGGCTGGTCAGGACCCAGGTTTTCACATAGTGATTTCTAGGGAAAACTAAGTAGATTGAAAACATTTCACAGCTGCTTAAAGGTCTCAACTTGGTTTTTCTGTGTCAGGGGCCACTTAGGAGATTGAACCTTTGCGGGGAGGTGATGGCTGCACAGAAACCCATGCAGTAATCTTAAACACTGCCCTGGAAATTGGATCCCACCCCCCCCCCATTCCCTTAGAGGAATTACTCTAAACAATGTATTTTTGTATGCAGAACTGTCCTTGGGTTCTGTGTCACACAATGCACACAAAAGCCCTTTTCCCCTCTTTCCCTGAAATGGGGAAGGAAGTGCAGGAAGGCCAGGCTGGCCCATGGGTATTGCATGGTTCTACTGCTGGGACTCCCTGAGCAGGGTCAGCTTCCCAAACGAATAGAAATGAGAGCGAGGCCAGCAGCTAAACCTGGCATTGCATAGGCTGGCTTTGTGGTTGGAGGCTTTGATCTTCATTTGTACTTGTCTTTCCAAATGGAAGTGGGCATGACGCCTATGTTCCCAAGGAACAGAGTGGGTGTCTATGGGTCCCAAATTATACAATGCTCAGAATTGCACCCGACTTCCTTTTGATGGTGGTGTGATGATGAAGAAGGTGATATTGGTGATGAAAGTCCAGATCTCAAACTGCCAAGTTTCACACTCTGCTTCTACCTCCAGCTTTGGGAAAATTCTCCCATCTTCAGTTTCCCCATCTGTGAAATGGAATTAATTACAGTACCTAATTCAGGGAATAGTGGTGTGTTAGGGCTGTTGCTGTGACAAAATACATGAGAGAAATCAACTTAAAGAAAGAAAGGTTTATTTTGGCTCACAGCTTCAGAGGCTTCAGGCAGTGATCACTTGGCCCTATCACTTTCCGGCAAGAGGAAAGGTGGTCAATCATGGCAGTAGGTTTATGGCAATGGAAAGCTGCTCACATCACGGTGGCTGGAAAGATACAGAGGGACTAGGGATAAAATATACCCTCTAAGGGCGTACCCCCAATGACCTACTTCCTCACCTCCTAAAGTTCCCACCATCTCTTAATAGCCCATTAAGCTCTGAATTCATCAATGCTTTAATCCATTGATAAGGTCAGAGCCCTCACGATCCAGTCGCCTCTCCAAGGCCTCACCTCTGAACACTGCTGCATTGGGGACCAAGCCTTCAACACGTGAGCTTTTGGTGGGAACTTTCAGATCCAAACCATAACAAATGAGAAGAAAAGAGATATTCTAGGTAAAGTGCTTAGGACAGTGTCTCACATAGACATGGTCAGTGACAAAGGGGCTTTCATTTGAGCCACTGTGGTAAAGAGAAAAATGCTGAGGTATCAGTCAGGAATAAAATAATGGGCTCTAGCTCAGAATTCCAAAGTGATTTGGGAGAATTGCAACTTAGTCTACCAAGTCTGGCTTTATGAAGGCAGTAAAATATTCCTGAGCTGCCATTTTCCCTCATCCCAGAGAATTGAGCCGAGGTGAGCCGTCCTCGTATCATCCTATTAAGTCCTTAGGCAGTGAGAAGTGAAACAGTCCTCAGTGTTTCTGAGAGCTGGGGTTTTGAAAGGAGAAAGTTGGACTTGAAACTTGGGCTAGAAGGCTTAAAGAAATTCCCATTTTGGACTGGCGTTGTCTGCTGTTGCGCTGTCTCTCCCACTGGTAAGCGATGCTTCCTCATGCTTATGCGTTGCTTTCCAAAAGCTAATTGACACTAATGGGCCGCACCAGAGGAACCATTACTGACAATTTACAGGCTTCTGATGGGTTTTTCCATGCCCAAGTCTTGGAAGCAGTTTCATGTCCTCTCCCTAAATATTAAGCTGGAGGAGGTTCACAGGTATCCCTGTCTCTCCCCAAAGGATGTGTTTCAGAGTTGGCCATTAGGAAACACCCATTGTAGCATTTTTTTTCCTCCCCAACCTTCTTACTTCCCACTTCTCTCAGAAGGATAAAGCAGAATTATAGCTTCAAGTGGCTTGTCTAGTACATGACAAGGCGCTGACAATAAAAGTACTTACAAAGTATCTGTTAAATGGATTTTTTTTAAAAAATTGAGATATAATTTATATACCACGCAACTCATCTTTTTTTTTTTGGATGTTACTGGGGTTTGAACTCAGGACCTCATACTTGGTAGGCAGGCACTCTACCACTTGAGCTACTTTACTAGCCCTTTTTGTGTTTGTTATTTTTGAGATAGGGTCTTGCATTTATGCCTGGACTGGCCTGGACTTCGATCGACCTGTTTGTGCTTCCCTGTGTATGGCGCTCAGCCATTGGTTGAAATAGAGTTTCACAATTTTTTGCCTGGGGTTGGCCTCAAACCACAATCCTCCCTGTCTCTACCTCCCACTGCACTCTGCTGCAATTTACCATTTAGAATACCAGTCAATGGTTTTTAGTATTTTTATGAAATTGTGCGGTATTTCCTTCAAGGAAAATCCTACCTACTAGCAGTCATTTCCCACTTCACCCTGAAAAGCTAAAGAAATTCCCTGAGTGGTGCACACAGTAGGTGCTTGGCAGTACCACAGACTTCTAATTCAAATAGACCCTGGCTGCTCTGTGTTCTGAAATGGTCAGTAAAATTCAGTTCATCCCCAACTCATCCCTACCCTTGTTGGGTTACCATCTTTAAGTGGCACTAGGAATTAGATGACCAAGGCTTACCATGTACTAGAAAGGCATGATTTTACTCCTTTCCTCTACAGAGGGTTTTAATTTCATACCACATATGCAAGTGTCTAAAAAATAATTGTGCTTTTAAATAGCAAAAGCTCATATCTGTTATGAGGGCCTGTCCCCTCAGACAATAGGAACTTAATTTCAACCTGTATTTTTCCCCCCGCCCCGCAAGGGATGGTGGCAGGGAAGCATCCATACTGCATCCTGACTGGTACTGCTAGGATGTCCTCACCCTGGCTAGTCAGTCCTCTGGCCTTAAATGTGGCTACTGTGCTTCCTCCTTGTCTCAACCCCAAGCCAGTTTAGCATGGTGCCAAGTCCATGACTCTCTAGAAGCTTGGGAGACAGGTTTTGGCTCCCTGAACCCTCTGGGTTATGGGAAAGTAGCCTCCATGTCTCCTTAGGAGCCTGAAATCATGTTGCTGGTGTCTTATCGTGCTTGGCCTGAGGAGCTCTGCATGTCTGTCTCATAGCAGTATCCTGAAAAGCCATGTAGATATTTCTGTTCTGACCCCAGGAAGGACAGGAGAATCCAGAATCATTTTGCCCCTCCAAGCTCTGCTCAAGAATTGAGGACAGTTTTCTGCTTCTCCCACATTCTTAAGCTTACCTGGGTCTTTGTCGTCCTTTTCCATCAATGGTCTCAGCTCGGGGGGGACAGGATATGGGTCCTAATTGGGGCTCCATAATGCCCCCCCAACTATCTGGCTCCTAGTACCCCTCCCTCTGTCCTGGGTTTCAAAGACTATGAGGATGGGGAAATATGTTCTCTGGTCTCCAATCCTGAGACAAAGAAAACAGAAAGCCCAGTGGCCCAGAAGGAAAGGTATGGATGCCATAGGAAGAGAATTATCCTTCCATACCCGCTATAGAACCTGTGTGGAGGGGAGGGTGCCCCCCAAGGAGACCATACCGACTACTTTGATTGACCGGACGCTGGAGGTCTCCTGCACAAGGCACACGGATGTGTGACTCCCAGTCCCAGTTCCAACCCTGAGTGTGTTTCAGAATCAGCTGTCACAATGGGTGAAGGTCATCGCTCAGTTCCAAGCACGAGGGAAGAACCACTTTCCCTCCAGCTGCAGTGAGCTCTGCTTACTCTACTGTCCCCCGGTGTCCTGACTGTATCTTTTCCCCTCTCCAGGGAGGTTTTGTGGTGATAAGGTCCCGGAGCCACTCGTCTCCACGGACAGCCGGCTGTGGGTGGAGTTCCGCAGCAGCAGCAGCACCCTGGGCAAAGGCTTCTTTGCAGTATATGAAGGTTTGTTCATGATGAAGCAGACGTGTGAGTGACTGCTGATAGGCCTCTGTCCCTCCTATGCAGCCCACTGTCTCTCTTCCCCTCCCCACCCAGAGGGTCAGCTTGCCAGATACCTGAAGGTTGGGCCACCGCTGTAGGTGGCAAGTTGAGAACTGCACGACCATCCCTGCCACCTTTGGAAGGCAGAGGCCAGCTATGCTCAACTCAAACTGCTATCTCCCTGTCACCTATCATCTACCTGTCACCTATTATCTACCCATCACTAGCCCACTAAATCCTCCTTCTGGTCTAGCTGGAGAATTGGCTTCCCCATCCCAGGGGTGGTATCTGGGATATAGAACCCTATAGAAATGGCAATGGTCTCTGAATAGCTGTGTGAGCCTAAGCAAAGACCCTGACCTCTCTGGGCCTCTATTTGTCTCACCAGTGAAAAGAAGATTTTGAATGTCAGAGAAGGTCCACCTGCGTTTTTTTAGAATGGCTCTGAGGCCACCCTGAAGGTTGGGTGGACTCTGGAAGATGCCCCAGGCTATGCTGCTTCTGTTGTTTTATGTACTGAGTCTCTCTGGCCCCCTTTACCCCAAAAGGGACACTATTAGAAAATTATTAAAGCTCCTTTTGGCCTCAAGCCAATGTTATTTTGGAAGCCAAAGTTTTGTTTTTATAAAACAACTACTGTAGGTCTCCGTGTACATGTGTGCATGTATGTGTGCTGTGAGTGTGAGTGTGGGTGCACTCTGTACATCAGCCCTCTGCCCTGTACATTAGACTCACATGGACACTTTGCTGCTGTTGCTTAGCACTCCCCTGGACCCAACTGAGGGGAACCCCTGGGGACACAGCCCCGGCTCCCACAGTTGGAACAATCTCCCGTGTGATTCTGATCACATGATCACATGCACAATGAAGGCACTACATGGCTAGGAAAATATGAGAAAATTCAGTGTTGAAAACATGCACTTCTACCTTTCTAAGGTACAGTCCTTGCTGGATGGAGAGGAAAATGTTGGTGAGTGGAGCCACCTAGTGGTGACAAGTGACCACTTACCTTCCTTCCTTAAGATGTGACCAGGGCCCCTTTTCCTCCTGTGCTGTCTTTGTAAAGCTACCTGTGGGGGAGACATTACCAAAGACGCCGGTCAGATTCAATCTCCCAACTACCCCGATGACTACAGACCTTCCAAGGAATGTGTGTGGAGGATCACGGTGTCAGATGGGTTTCACGTGGGACTTACCTTCCAGGCCTTTGAGGTGAGCACTGCTCCATGTCTTCCCCAGGACAAAGCAAGGGGCAACTTTTGCTCAATACCCTCCACTTTATAAGGATGGGTTTCCATTTTGTGGTTAAAAACAGGAACTTAAGAGGCCATCTCAAGCCATGGCAAATTGTGCCACAAATTTTTGTGGGCTTTGAAATTTGGCTCACCTCCTTTCTGAAAGCTGTGAGAGAGGGTGAGGGAAGTAAAGAAATCTAGGATGGAGTCCAAGGAAGTTTTGTAGAATTGTTCTTCCCTGTTTCTCCCATTCTCTTCTCAACTTGAACCATTCGCTCTTGATGTCTTGGAGAAGTGCAGGACGCATTTCGTGTGAGAGTGATAGGTTCCATTCTTAAGTTAAAAACCTTGAAGCTGAGTCATCCAGTATCACTGCCTGGCCTCTTTTTCCCCTTTTAGATTGAAAGACATGACAGCTGCGCCTATGACTACCTGGAAATCCGTGATGGCCCCACAGAAGAGAGCGCCCTGATTGGTCACTTCTGTGGCTATGACAAGCCTGATGATGTGAAATCAAGTTCCAGCAGACTGTGGATGAAGTTTGTATCTGATGGCTCAATCAACAAGGCGGGCTTTGCAGCCAACTTTTTCAAGGGTATGAATTAGCAGTGTGTTTCCACTTTCAGTCACAGGCAGAAATATTGTCCCCTTAGCATAAGAACCATAAGGCCCATCTGGAGCCTTAGCGCCAATCAAGGCTCCTGCAGGGAGGAGACATCGACCCATTTCAGAGCTGCATGGGGCCCCACACCCCCGCACATCAATCAAGAACAGGTTCAAATTTGGCCTCTGCAAAGCAGACTATTCTGCACTTGGAAATAAGATTTAGTAAGCTTACTAAATAAGATTTAGTTTAGTAAGCTTCACTACAATGACCCTGTAGTTAAGGCTGAGCATTGATAACAAATATTTATACAGCAGCTGTCATTTACTGAGTGCCTAGCCTGGCTCTTGATTTCCTTTGTTATTTAATTCCTCCAATAACCCCTTGAGTTAGATTTGGATCACATTTGATCCACACTGAAAAGAGCTGTTGAGGATCACTTGGGTAAGTAAGTGGGAGATCAAGGATCCAAACCCAATCTGACTCCACAACTCAAACTCATTCTACAACATTGCCTTGCATTCCCTGGTGTGGGCCAGAGAGGCAACCCAGGTGTTTAGTTCCAGAGACAATGGCCTCCACCCTCTAGCCAAACCCCAGGGGAGTCAGGTAGGGACAGTGAGGGATCAAAACTCCTTATTGCCTTATAGGATCTGCTGCTCTATAGGGTCCAGACTACACCAGCAGACCCAGCATTCTTAGGCTCCTCTGAATGGGTGCTCAGAACCCTGGAAGCCCTGCAGACCACAGCCTGTGAAGGAAGCATGGTGTTTTTCAGGGTATTGTGATGGACGCCCAGTAGGACACTGGCAGCTACTGGTGGCCGCAGTTGGTGCACCATTTCCCCAGCTACTCATGGCTGACTGGGGAAGGCTGATTCTGCCCTCCCCTCCTTTCCTAGGTCTCTTGGCTGTGCCAGCCCAGAAATCCTTATCCCCTTCCCCCCATCTCCTTTCATCTCCTTTTTAGATGCCTCTCCCAGGTTCTCTCTAAAGCAACTGGCTATCAAAAGAATCCACTTCAAGCCATACTACCCTGGCAGGCCACCACCTGTCCTTCCCAAAGCCTCAGTTTCCCCCTCGGTAATAGGGAGAAGAGAATCTGTCCATTTCTTCTATACAATTGTCGTGCTGTCCCCAATGAAATGACAACAGTGAGGCACTGCAGAAGCTTACCAGTACCAATTGGGATGTGGGATTTTTTTTTTTTCCCTTTTTGAGGCATTTAGGGAAGAACAAGAGACAGCAATAATTACAATGTCTGTAGTACCTGGCTTCCTTAGCCCAGCCTTTGCCCAAAGAGGCCAGCAGTTGGATGTCCTATGGGCACAAAATGCCCAGGTTGTGTGTCAGGACTTCAGCAGTGAAAGAAACTGGAAGTGTAACCACAGGCCTGCAGCAGAGTTGGAGTGAACCAAAGAAGCTCGTGCCTCGGTGCCAGTTGGCAGCAGGGTCTGCCTGGGCCCAGCTGGCCTGTGACACTGGCCAGGGTGCCAGTTGGCCTCAGCACTCCTCTCCTGGTGCCAGATGGCAGTCCCTCTCAGAGCCTGTTGGCTAGATAGTAAGCAGACAGAGTACCTTACATTTGTATAACCTCGGGAGATGGCTTCAGCATTCAAGGCTGTCTGGGCCATTTTGTCCCCCGCCCCCTACATAAAGAATGTGAGAGTTCCCCTCCATCCCTACGTTCTACTTTGTAGATGGGCTGTGGAGTGTTGGGGGGGGGGACTGACTGCCTTCAAGGTAGTTCTTTAGTCATCTAGGGATGTGCTCTGCCTTCCATTTCTTTAACTCTCTTTGAAACAATCTTGATATCCTGCCTAAGCTGTGTCATTATTTAGCCACAGAAGGACTCCTTCATTTACTCTACCACCTGGAGGATGGAAAGAAGCCAGACCTCTTGCTATACTAAGCTGAAACCAGGTTCAAGCCTCTTCTCCTATCCCTTCATACTCCCATATCTTTTTGGGACATTTAACCTTGGCCACTGCAGCCCAGAGCAATCAAGAGACAGTGGTCCTGGAGCAGATGCTATTTGGTGACAGCATAGAGCCATGCAGAAAGCGAGGCCCTCACTGAGAGCAGGGTCCCTGGTGTACTTGCATGCCATCTTTCCACATAGGAGCAGGGTTGCAGTGCCACATATCAGCTGCTCTTGCTGTTCTTCAAAAGTCTACCTTTCAGCCAGGAACTGTAGCTCACTCCCAGCTATTTGGGAGGCTAAAATCAGGAGGATCACAGTTTGAGGCCAGCCCAGGCAAATAGTTTGTAAGACCCCATCTCCAAAATAACCAGACCAAAATGGACTAGACAAGTGGTTCAAGAAGTAGAGCACCTGCTTTTTAAGCACAAAGTTCAAATCCCAGTCCCCCCTCCACCCAAAAAAGTCTACTTTTCATCCTCTGTGCTGGGTTACATCTTACTCTTCTTATCTCTGCAGGAATTATATTTTCTTTGCTTTAGGCCCAAGTCCATTCCTCTGGCCTTCCTCTCTCCCGCCACCTGGCTCAGATTGTGCTAAGAAACTGTGTCTTCTCTTTCTTACCTGTGTGTCCTGACCACAGCCACCATACCTTATTGCCTCAGAGCCTCCCTTGCTCCTACCTCAGGCCTTTGCTTGTCCTCATCTGTCTGACGGGCTCTCCTCTCAGTTTCCCTCTCCCCACTGGCCAGATCTTTGAATCTGCTGTGCATCCCTCCTGCCCATTTACCCTTCCTTCATTGGACCAGACTTGAAGTGTTTTCCTTCTTTCTGTTCTGTTCTGTCTCCCTCACCTCCTCAGGCCTGAAGTGTTCCACTGTCACCTGATTTAAGTGTGCCCAGGTAACCGCCTTCCACCTTGCCATCATTGTGTCTCTCTACCTCTTGGACTTGCAGAAGCTGCTCCACTATAGTCTGTACTGATCGCCCTGCACACTGACTGTCTGTGTACTGGGTGCTTCATAGGTATAACTTGCAATCACCATTAATGCAAGGACCATTCTTGTCATTTTATTTTTAAATAAATTTTTATTAGGATTTATTCTTGTCATTTTAAAGCACGACAAAGGCTCAGGGAGGTTAAATTATCAGCGCCCACCCGATTTGATGGGGAAGATCTGGTGGATCCACGCAGACTTGACTCACTTGAAAGCCTGGGCTCTTTCCACTGCTCTTTATTATCCTTATTTTTCTCCTTTTTCCAAACTTTCTAGCAGATAGCTAAGAAAGTACTTTGCATATTAAAAGATGAGCGAACAGTTGCATGGTTATTATCCCAGCATGCTTTATAACGTATCTACTCGAGACCCCAGACAACTTCACCTTCCTGCCTGTGGCATCTCCTAAGCCCAGTCATCCCTAGTGACTGGTTCATTTAAGCCTTTGCTGAGCCCAAGAACACCCCCAGTCTCAGGGTTTGCTATCCACTAGGTGAAATGATGGGGCATACAGAGCCATCCTCTCCCCAGTGAAGAGAAACCAGGCTGCTGAGGGACATGTGTATCACAGAGGAGGAAGTTTGGAAGGGAATTATTTAAGTTGGAAAAGGACATCACAGAGGGAGGAACAATAACTGGGAGGTTTACATTTCTGCAGGACCAATGGGTTAGAAGTTATAAGGGTCACATGATCCAAGAAACAGTGAGAGTCCTATCCCTGGATGTTTTTAGGCGAGATCTGAAACGCCTTCTGTCAGGAATGGTACTAAACCTTCTTGCCTGAGTGGTCACACTTGGTATCTTCAGGTCCTTATCAACTCCTAGATGACCTGATTTATTTCATTTCATGTGTAACACATTCTTTCAAGATTTGGTAAACAACTCCATGCTTGCTGTGTTCCTCCCTTCCATGGTGCTATGACCCCATACTCTCCTTCCTGCCCCACCCCCCACTCTTTCTTCTTCCTAGATTGGTTTTTTTTTTTTGAAAGACGTCTCAGTGTTTAGTTGTCCCTTCATTAGATAACACTAACTCTCAGGCCACATCTGCACACACTCTTTCAAGGATAGATGTACCGTGGCTTGACAGCAGAGAATGTTTTTCCTTTATTTCACATCCTCTTCTGGGAGGTGCCCAATGCTAAGGATTGTCATTTCTTCAGCAGCACATGGGCTAATGTGTCCTGAGGGGCTTCTCCAGTGACTCCTGTATTCTTCCTCTAGACATCACTCATGGCATCCTACCTGCTGATATTTAATGCCCCAAACATATCACTAGATACCTATCACTGCTGAATTCCTCAGACTCCTCTCCCATCCAACCCCGCCTCCTTCTGGCCTCACCCTCAGGTTTTCTATCATTTTGTGGACCTGCATGACACTCTCTGGTTCTAATATCTACTTACACATCTTCATCTAGAAGTGGCCCTTCCATCATAACCCTTTATTGAATGTCTCGGAGAAGTGCTATATTTGTAATTACAATATCCCCAGTTCCATGGCCTTAAAATAGGTGGCATCTCTGGTGTGGAACCTGGTGAGAATTGGTGAAATTCCACGTGCATACTGTTAGACTCTGCAGAATACCACTCTTCAGGCCCAGTCTCCCCACAGAGGAATGCGACACTGGCTGACCTGGGATCCCTGCTTGTGTGGTTGGGATCCTACCCTGACTGTGGCTACTGCCAGTTTTTTAGATAAGGGCTTGAGACTCTTTGAGAGGTGGTCACCAGGAGCCCCTCTATTCTTAGAGGACTTTAGCTGGGACCCCAGGGGTGTGGAAGGGTGGGGAATGGACTAGGCAGGTTGGTAATGATTTCGCCGAGTCGCCTTCCCTTCCTGCAGAAGTGGATGAATGCTCCTGGCCAGACCATGGCGGGTGTGAGCAGCGCTGTGTGAACACACTTGGCAGCTATTCTTGTGCCTGTGACCCAGGCTATGAGCTGGCCGCTGACAAGAAGACGTGTGAAGGTTGGTGTTGAGCCCACCAAGCTGGAATGGCAGGAATGGGTATATGTTTTAGGAGAAGTGGGACAGAGATAGAGTAGCTGGCTGACTGCAAAGTAATGATGGATAGAAGTGGAGGGAGGGTCCACCTGTTTTCCAAAGAGAGAAACAAGTTGGTGACAGTCATAAATGTGAGAAAACCACCAAATTACACAGGCTCCTCCCTAGAAACTGTGCAATGGGCCATGGCTCATTTTCTTCTGTGACTGTGTAAAATTTGTGAGATAATTAAGGTAAAAAAATAAAAGTAAAGAAAACGATGAGCACTTTGTGTGACTCACTCATAGCTCATTTCACCCATCCCTTCCCCACCTGTGCAAATCCTCTTGCTCCTGCAAGCCAAGTGAATAGCTTGGTGCAAACAGTTCTAATTCTCCTTTGGTCCAAGTCATGGGAGCCCCTGACTGTGCCACTGGGCAACAGGTCAAGTGCATCATAATTATTTTCAAAAGCAGTAAAGGCTTGTCCCCAGCTTCATCCATCAGATCTTCAGCCGACAGGCTGAGAAGGGGGACACTGAATTAATCAGTTGAGATCGTGTTACTTTTTCCATCATTATTACAGAACAGCAGGGCTCATTGCTGCTGGTGGGGAATTGTAGTCACTTGGAACAAAAACCAAATGAATCTTGTTTCTGTTTCCCCTGATGCAGTGGCTTGTGGCGGATTCATTACCAAGCTGAACGGAACCATCACCAGCCCTGGGTGGCCCAAAGAGTATCCCACAAACAAAAACTGTGTCTGGCAGGTGGTGGCCCCCACCCAGTATCGCATCTCCCTGCAGTTTGAAGTGTTTGAACTGGAAGGCAATGATGTACGTCTCTGTGCTCTAACTGGTGGGGGTCAGCATTAAGAAGTGACTCAGAGTTGGAGACCTAGGAGGGACTTGGCAGGCAGGAAGGTGGCTTGTGTTGGAGCCACAGAATCTAAGCCCAGCAGAATCCAAAGGGTGTGTTATCCAGTCACTTTGGTTGCATGTCACCTGTAGATGACATCCAACCAGCCCTCTTGTCACTGATAAGCCCAAGGAGAATTGGAACAAGATTCTGAAGGTGGCGGTTGTTGGGGGTGGGGGTGATCAGAATAGGTCTGAACCCTAGGGTATTGATCTGGTGGTTGGTGTAGAGCTGAGGGGAACAGAGGGCAGAGGGCCAGTGAGAGACAAGGATGCTGTAGATGGCCTATTCTCTGTCTTGGGAGTGGTCATGGATAATCAAATCAGGTGAGGCCCTATAGCCAGAGTGCTAGTTGGGCATGTCCCATGCCTCCTCCTAGAGCTAGAGGGACCCCCAAGGGGCACACGGTCTCTTCTTCATGATTCTCTTGCCCCAGCCAAACTAGGGTTTTCGCCTTAAGAACAGCACTCACCTGGGTCTCGCTTGACCTTTAGGATACTAAAAGTTCTAAGGAGATGGTCCAATGCCAATTGGCCCTGATGCATGGGGGCTCCAGTGCTGATTTGGGGCTCACCCCAAAGTGTAAAACCAACCCATGAAAGTAATAGATCAAACCATTCAGTATTTAAGTTCTTTTTGAGAAGAAAGCCATTGCTACAGCAGATAACAGGCCTGGCTCCACTACTACTGAGCTGTGTGACTCCAGACAACTGTCTGTCACCTTCTGAGCTTTTGTTTTTCTACATGAAAGCATGATGGAGTTGGATTGTGTCAGTGGTTTGAAAGTGTTTCCTGCCTCCCTTGTACCTCCTTTCCTCCTCTCCTTGTTTTTCTTCTTCTTCTGGCAGTGGGGGCCCTTACTTCAAACATGAGATAGAATGAAAGCAAATTGGGGGATGCAGGCTAAAGGCTCAGCTCTGGGGCCAGGCAGTGACAGAGCCTCAGTGGGAAAGCCAGGGTCCTTGTTGGCCTCTGGATGTCACTCTAGTGACCAGCATAGTAAGAGTCAAAGGGACCCTCCCGTGGATCTGACTGAGCCCATCGGGCCACATGGCAGGGTGCAGCTCTCAGGCAGGCGTTCTGGGTGGGAGGTGGGGGTGGGGGCAACAGGCTGTTCTCCAACTTCTTCCCTTGCAGGTCTGTAAGTATGACTTCGTGGAGGTGCGCAGTGGCCTGTCCCCTGATGCCAAGCTGCATGGCAAGTTCTGTGGCTCTGAGACACCCGAGGTCATCACCTCACAGAACAACAATATACGCGTGGAGTTCAAGTCTGACAACACGATCTCCAAACGTGGTTTCAGGGCGCACTTCTTCTCAGGTAGGTGGATTTGGAGGCAAGTCCTCTGGGGTCCCTGACCTCCTTTCCACCTACTCCTGCTTCACTTCCTACATATATGCCCTGGCAGTGGTGCCCGGACCCAGGGTTTTTATATTGGTGGCTGTATTCATTTCCTGAGACCACCATGACAAATTACAACACACTAACTAACTTAAAATGACAAAATTTTATTCACTTGTTATTCTAAGGGCCAGAAATCTGAAAATCACATGGTGGGTCCTGCTTGTCACATCATACTGGAGGGCCAGCTGTTTAAGAGCAGGGATTATGGGTTGGTTCTCTTTTATTCTTATTGCTTAGCATAGAAGTGAGTCAACTACTCATTGGCTTTATAAATACCTGTTTCTAATTTTTTTTTTTGGCAGTATCTCATTGAGCAAGTTGTGTTTTTATTTGAGTGTCCAGTACCGGGCAGTACTGGACTCAGAGAGGTTGCCAGGGACATGCCCCTGGGTGAGGGACAAGCTCACATCGTGGCTGAGGAGACCAGGGAGGTGTACCTGCTAAGTCTCAGCCTGGTGAGACAGGGACTGATGTTTGGAGGAGAGGGGAGCCCCTGGCTCTGGAGCATTGGTAAAGACCTTTTGCTGGATGCCTGTGGTCTTGGCCAGGTCTAAGAGATGGGCAGTGCTGAAGTGGAGCTAGGATGACTGGAGAGAAAGTGATCAGAGTCCTAAAAAGGAGAGGCAGTGTGAGCTTGGGCTCAGGGTCTCTCCTGAGCACAGAGACTGAGATGAGACCAGACTGGATGGAGTCAAGTCCTAGGCTGGAAAGTCAAGGGCATGAGGTAAGCCAGGTCAGGAGGGGCTAGATCATGGAGGGCCTTGAATGCTGATTATAGTGTGGGGACCCAACGGGACAGAAAGTGGGATCCTCTGCAGGTTCCTAAGTTGGGGAGGAGGCCTACAAACGCTATATGACAAAGCCAGGCCAGGCAGTGTAGAACTGGGGAGTGAGGGGGAGTGGGCCAGCAGCCACCTCAGAAGAGGATGTGGCTCCATGCTTATATTGGGAACCTGAGGCAGAGGAGCTGGGTCCAAGCTGGGTGAGGACCTGCAAGTGTCCATACAAGGACTCCAGAGGACAAGAGAGAGGAGTAGCCCCTGTGCTGGGGTGCCGAGTGGTGGCAACTCGTCCACATTCCAGGAGTTCAGGTCAGGCTCTTACTTGTCCCCATGAAATACAAGGGTGAAACTAAGACGCCAAGTGTTCACGGACACAACCACAATGGGAAGAGGAGGTAGTGCCAAGAGAAGGGGACGACATGACTGACCCCTGAGGCGTGGGGGGGGTCGGTAGAGGGGGAGACGTGGGTTGGTTAATGTAGGAAGAAGGCAGTTTGGGAGAAGGCCATGGGCCATGCTGGCTGGGGCCACAGGAACTATAGTGTTACAAGAGCCCACAGAAGTAATCACAGGAGCCAGCACTTCCTGTGGGTAGACCACACTGCTCTCAGTGCTCTCCCTATTCTAACCTATTTTCTTCTGCTTCTCCTCCTCTGCGGGAAGGACACCATTACTGTCTCTGTTTTACAGGTGAGGCAACTGAGGCGCAGAGGTCAGGCACTGCTTAACGTTACCCCGGCTGGCAGTGGTAGCACAGGGCCAATACTCACTGTCAGGCCCATGGCCCACACACTAACCTTGTCCACAGGCAGGAGGTGATGTGTATTGTGGGTTGTGAGCCCAGACCTGCAGGTAGGTCACACAGACTACCTGCTGACTGACTTTGCCCAAACCCTCCCAGCTTCCACTTCCTTATCTGCAAAATAGATTCAAGCAGGTCCCTCCCAAGGTTGGGTGAGAAAGAACTTAGCAAGTGTACAGGAAGTGCTCGGGGTAGGACCCATTGCCTAGTAAATACTCAATGAATGGCAGTTATTTTAATTGTTGTTACGATTGCTGTTATGTTAATAAGAGCCTGTTCTTCAGGGAGCTCTTTGGTTTTGGCAGGGATTGAGGCAGAGAACATACATATATGCTGTGCATCTGCCCAGCATTCAGAGGCAAAGATGCTCCCTCAGTGACAGCCTCCGCCAAGGGGATAATGTGTGTATGTGTGTGTGGAGGATCCAGGAGGCTTCCTGGAGGAGGCAACTTCTGAGCTGGGTCTGAGTCACGAGGGCCATTCCCAAGCTGGCAGTTCTTCTTAGCAAAATCCATTGCTCCCACAGACAAGGACGAGTGTGTCAAGGACAATGGTGGCTGCCAGCACGAGTGCGTCAACACGTTCGGGAGCTACCTGTGCAGGTGCCGGAATGGGTACCGGCTGCACGAGAACGGGCACGACTGCAAAGAGGGTGAGGAGGATCCCTTTGGGCTGGGACTGCCTTGGCTACATTGTTTCCCTTGGTATGCATGCAGGCTGGGGGGCCTGCCACACTTTGCAGCACTTGCAGCCCTGAGCCGAGGCTCTGCTTCTGGCATCTTTGCTCTAGGAACTCCTTGGGGCCTCCTGCTGGAGAGCAGTCAGTCCTTCCCCTTCCACCTCACACAGTATGTGGGAGCCTCAGGTGCTCAAAGTTGAGTTATTGCAGAGTGGTGAAGCCAGAAGGCTCCAGAATCAGGCTACGTAGGTCTGAATCCCAGCTCCGCCACTCAGTAGCTATGGTGACCTTGAGCAAGTTAGTTTATCTCTCTGGGAGTCAGTTTCCTCTTCTGTTAAAAAGCTAACCATACCTCCTTCCTAAAGTTTTTGTAAAGATGAAAAGAATGCTTAGAAGATGTTCCAGTCACTGAACCTATTGCACACTTGGATGTTGGTAAATAGCAGCTGTGATGTGCGTGTCTATTGACTGTAAGCAGGCCTATCAGTGAACTGGAATTTGGGGAAAGCTTTGTCCTCTTCTTCACTCACTCCTGGGAGTTTTCCTCCCTCTGCTCTTACTCGGTCCAGTGAAGGGAATTTGTGCATCTGTGATAAACACAGGCTCCAAGCCTTGGCCTAGCCACAGAACCCAGCAAACGAGGTCAAGGGTGCAGGAAGTTGTGAAGAGGGCATGCCCGCCTCTGTTTTCTTATCTGGAAATGGGAAGAGTTAAGCGAGAGAATGCATGTTAAACACAGAGCTCAACAAAAGGAAAGCAAATTCTATCAGTCCAAATGCTAGTCCATGGGCATGTCGTGGGACTGCTCTTTGCTGGTTGCCACCAGGATGAAGCAGGTTGACAAACTGAAAGGTGCACCTGGATACAAAGACTAAGCAGTGATGGAGGGGATCTCTGCTAGCACTGCTGAGGCTGGCACTCACTAAGCCTTTACACGTGTTATGTCAGGTAATCCACACGCATGAGGCTTAAACCCATTTTATAGGTAAGGACATAAGAGCCTCAAATCCCATAGGTGGTAGAATCAGAACTTGAACCAAGCTCCACCTGACCCCTAACTCTATTTTCAGTTCTAACCTCTATGTGACCAGTAATAGTGAGAAAGATGCCCTGGCTCCTAATCCGTAGCTGGAAAGGCAGTGTAAACAAATCAGCAAATCTGTGCACCAGGGCACACGGGATTCTGACTGGCCATCCCCACATTTGATGACTCTGAGACAAAGAACGGAGGACCCTCCCCTAGAATGAATGCCTTTGGTGTTGCCACAAGTGAATGACTCCTTTCTTTCTCTCTCTGTGTCCCCCAATGGCCCCCAGCTGGCTGTGCACACAAGATCAGCAGTGCGGAGGGGACGCTGGCAAGCCCCAACTGGCCTGACAAATACCCCAGCCGGAGGGAGTGCACCTGGAATATCTCTTCCACAGCAGGCCACAGGGTGAAACTCGTGAGTCTTTTGTGGTTTGCTAAGAACTCAGATTTTGATGTCAGGCAGATGGGGGTTTGAGTTTCTGCTCTGCCACTTCCCAGCTCTGAAACTAGGGGGAGCTAGTCAGCATTTCCAGGACTCAGTTTGACTAGAAAGTGGGGGTGCTAATGAAGCCTGCTTGGTGGCGACTGCTGTGCAGATGAGAAGAAAGTATCCACAGCAGCTCTGTAATGACTCCTATTCACTGCGGCACCAGGGCAAGCTGCATACAGATCTGCAGTGTTGTATGAAATCTTCTTGTTTCCAGTGTTGATTTTTTTTTT